AATAGCTTGGAGCCCGTAATAGAAATTAAGATAGGAATTAAGTTAATTTTTCTCAGTTATTGCGTTTTCTTGTTATTTTCTTCAACAGGAGAGAGTGTTTTCCTGGAAAAGAAGAGCTGACATGAGTTATGAGATAGTAATTGAACAACGGGAACTTCCGAAGAGAAGACTGCCTCGCCCACGGTTTTTGAGCCGTGGTTTTCCCGTGGGCCGGAGGGCGAATGCCGAGGCAGGGACTTGGGGAGTCCTTTGGGACGACGGGTCCACGGTAGATACCCCCCTCTTGTCCGAAGAAAGTCACGGGAGGAGAAGGATTGAAAAATACTCGCGCCGGGAACAAGAAGATGACTGGAAAGGGAGGCTGCCTTGGAGTCGATTCTTGAGAGCCTGGCCAGCTCTCTGGAAGGAATCGATTAGGGGCCTGCCCGGTGGATTGGGGCCTGACCGGAACGCTACTCGGTAACCGGGAGCAGCAGTTCAGGGAGAGCAGGATATCGTTCGGGGTCCTTGGAAGTCCGCAATGGTCGTTGAGCCCCTTGCTGATTGTCGGGACGACAATCTTGAAGCGTGTCCGAGTCGTTACGGCCTTGCCGTTGTCCGGATCCCGTCGGCAGGAAGATTGTTTACAAACAACGACTGTCAGCTGAGTTTGGAGCCAGCTGTCTAGCTGTGCGGACGCGTTTCTCTCCCGAGCCGATCCGTTATGCTATTTGTGTTATTATTCCGTATTATTTACGTTATTGTTTGTGTTCTGTGTTGTGCATTAAAGTTCCTTGCTTCTCTAAAAGTGCTTATTTATTTCGCGCGTCTCGCGAGCGGCCGATCTCTTCGTACGCGGCTTCGATATCTATCGAAGTCCTCGCCGCGGGCGTAACAATACATAAAAATATCTTGTTGTACAGCACTGATGCTATCGATATTTCGTGCACATAGCACGGAACAAAACCAGAAATTGTGCACATTATATATTATCCTCTAAGAACATTTATGGAATTTGGCTTTGTAGTTCATGTCCACGTTTTCAATGTCCATAGAGGGAGTATCGCTTTCAGAGATCACCCAAAAGCAGGCCATGACATCTCTCAGTCTTCTCTCTGGTATATATGCAGGATGAGTTTTATTTCGTGTGTCAATCTTTTTATCATGCGAGATTATCGACTGTACAATAAATTGATCGGTACACAAATGTTAATTATTTGGATCGACCGTTTCAAAGGCTCGAATGTAATGTGTAAAATTAAAGCAAATTAAAAGCTGAACAATTATATATTTTTTCTTAAAAACAACTGTATGTTTTCTTTACACCAATTGATTCCTCTCATTATTTTGTACATAAAAGCATTAAGATAAGATAATCGAAAAATGAATATTTTACTAGATATTTTATGGTTTATGTAAAATTAAGAAATGATTTCAACCCTCATAACTCGAAAAATACTCAATAAAAAAATATTTTATTATAGTGTTTTGGAAAGCTCTCGAAATAAGCTACAAGAATATGTAATGAGAAAATGTAAGTTCCATTTAAGAAATTGAAGGTGGCCTTCATGTGACCTTCAAATAACTCTTAAAGTCAAAACAATGGTACCATCTTATGAACCCCTCGAAACCATACAACTTTTGTCTGAAACATTTTTGTTTGCTTAGTTTTTGAGATTATATTTGATATTTTACTGTCCAAGTCCTTATCCTTAAAATAGGATACCCTGTATAATAAAGCCAAATTTTTGCGACGCTTTTTCAATTCAAATTTGTATTCCCGCGGGGGAGCGGAAGCGCCGTCAAAAACACAAGGGTTGTATGTACTCGCGATCGGCGGGACGGGGATGGAGGGTGTCCGCGCGCGAGCCGCGGCGGAGCGAAGGCCGTCTCGTTATCTCAGAACTGGGCGCCAGGTACGGTCTCTCACGTACCAGTTTTCACAAATTCTTCGAAAAGCGCGAAAGAATACGACAGCCCGCTTCGCCACGGGCTGGCTAGCTCGCCTAACGGTAGAGGGGCGGGGTTGGAAAGAAAAAGCAACAATCGATTGTACAAGTTGTTCAATGTCCGCATCTTTCTTCATTAGCGGCTGTTCGGGATCGCAACTGTGAGTTACGATTTTGTTTTGCCGGGACACACCCGAGAGGGTATCGCGAATTTGCAAATAACGTGATTTCGCACTGGATGAGTGACGGGATGAAATAACGTAAAATTGCTCCTTTGATTGTAACACAGTGACAGCCACACAAGAGTGGTGATAAGTTTATTGCGTAAAATACACGATATGTACAGAGTTTATGAGCTTTCGATGCGTATGCGACTCTATTTCTGATATTTGAACACGTCGAGATTCGCACTCGATCGGCGAGATCGCACTATACAATCGTTCACTTGATAAAAACGATACAAAGCGTTATCAGCTGTTCGCGTGAGAGCGAGCGAGACAGCGCTCTATCAGCTGTCCGCGTGAGCGAGCGAGACAGCACGATTCACGGTTGCACGCACGAGATTAAGAGAGACAGCGTTACATCAGCTGTTTGCGAGATCGAGCGAGACCGCACTATTCACGGGTGCACGCACGAAACTGAGAGAGACAACGCTCTATCGGGCTGTCTGTGAGAGCGAGCGAGACCGCACGATTCACGGTTGCACACACGAGATGGAGAGAGACAGCGCTCCAACGGCTGTTTTCGATACAGAGCGAGACGGCTTTATTGCGGCCGTTCGCGAGATCGAGCGAGACCGCACTATTCACGGGTGCACACACGACATTGAGAGAGACAGCGTTCCAACGGCTGTCTTCGAAAGAGAGCGAGACGGCTTTATTGCGGCCGTCCGCGAGATCGAGCGAGACCACACTATTCACAGTTCGCGTGAGAGCGAGCGAGACCGCACTTTCCACGGTTCGACGCGAAACAGAGAGAGACAGCGCTCTATCAGGCTGTCTGTAAGAGTGAGCGAGACGGCGCTCTTTCAGCCGTCCGCGTGATTGCGAGCGAGACCGCACTATTCACGGTTCGCGTGAGAGCGAGCGAGACGGCGCTCTTTCAGCCGTCCGCGTGATTGCGAGAGAGACCGCACTATTCACGGCTGCACGCGCGAGATAGAGAGAGACAGCGCTCTATCGGTCTGTCTGTGAGGGCGAGCGAGACCGCACTTTCCACGGCTGCACGCGCGAGATAGAGAGAGACAGCGCTCTATCGGGCTGTCTGTGAGAGCGAGCGAGACGGCACTTTCCAATGTTCGACGAATGAGCGGAGGCTCAATGAGAGACAGGTTCCACCTCTGACTTGTTAGAGTGGAGGCGCTCAGACGAATCCCGGCACTCGCGCTCAGAACGTTCACATGTTGAACGGAATCGGTTATCGTTCACTGAATTATCCGTTGATCCGTCGCGATATCTTATACAGAAGTTAGTCTATTGAATATAATCGCGTTTGGCACGTTACACTGTTTCAAACACGCTTGCAAAATCTCGGTTCTCGCTGCTCGATAATCCGACAATGACTTTTATAAAAATTTGTTAGAACTCTCTATGACTCTCGCAATGACTAGGTAAGATTCAACTGTGACTCCGCGGGAAAGAGCCTTTCTCCCGTATATAAGGATTTGATGGCGCATCGGATGATCCGAGTTGAGCCTATCCGGTTCAGGCACGTCGAATCGCGTGATTTTCCGATTGCCTAATTGGACAGGATCATGTATTATTCCGCGATCACGCGGATCCTGGCTGATTTTGAAAAATCACCGTACGAAATTATTTCGCGAGTTCGCTTTGGCGCGCACGGATGGCGCCAGTATTACCGGGGGTGATATTGTCGCTCGAAATTCAAGGCGAATCCTAAACAGTAATATTATTTGATTATCTCAATTTTATTATCCCACCGACGACTAATTCTACGATGACTTAATCCCACCGCTTATTAATTATACTTTAATGATATTCTATTCGTATAACAAATTTAACACGATATCTCAAAATATACGCTAATTAAAGCGTGCACGAACATTTCAAAAATTTAAAATTTCATGAAAAATAAACCTTTTAATGGATTCTCACCAAATTTAATATCAATCGTTTTTTAATAATATTCTATTGACTTAAAATTAAAAAATAATTAGTATGATATCACAAAATTTGCTGAAGTTAGAGTATAAACAAACATTTTTTGAAGAATAGAAACTGTCTGAAAATCTAAAATATATATATGTATACACATATTATTTAAATTTAGAAAAATAATAGTAAATAAATGAAAAATAAAAATGGTACTATTTTACCAAAATTGTACTGTTTTACTGTATGCCGAAATGCAGTATTTAAACAATTTTTAAGTTATAGACGTTTGAATAATATTACATACATACAGTCATATATTTTAGACATTTTTTAAAAATATATTTTTTTCAACATTTTAAAACATTTTGAACATTGGCATCGAAAATTAGAAAAAAATGTTTTCTACAAAAACAAAATTTTCTTTATAAGGAAGCAAAGTTAGAGAATTTAAATAATTTTAGACTTTTAAATAATTTTATCACTTAAATTCTTAATAAAATTATTTTATTGGTAATATGTTGTTCGAATATAAAAATCGACACAGAACAATATATTAAAGTATCTCATAGTTGATCACAATCAATTCGATTGTGATCAATCATCGATTGATTGTACTTTAATATATATTGTTTGTTGTAGGCTTTTTGTGTATGTTCGACCAATATATTATAAATAAAATGTTATTTTCATTGACAAAATGTCACAAAATATTTCATCCAAATATGTCCTTAATTGCCCGTAGACTATGATTATATTAAATGATTCACTGATATTAAAATTAGAGATTTTCTAAAAATCTCTAAGTTTAATATCAGTGAATCATTTAATATAATCATAGTGTCTCTCATTAATCATAGCTGCCACTTTCTCGTTTCTCAAGATCGTCAAGTGATTACCCTCGATGTAATGTACCTCCACTTTGTTTTGAGTTACCTTAAATATTATATATATTTCGTTAAACAAAAAGTTTTGTTAAATTTAATTTATTAAATATACATTTGAACAAAACTTTCTCCAAAATATCTTGTGTAGACTATAATCCTCTTCAATCATATGTACATGTGACAATGTAGCTTTTAGCAATATTATGGGTGATTTAATACGCGGTAATGTGGAAGGATTATATTGTCAAGCAATGATTAAATGTTTATATACTGTTGTACATAACATGTTCAGATTTATGGGTGAAAGTAATGTATTTATTGCTAAAAAATGTTTGGCAAAAATATTAAAACGCTCCTTCCAAGTTTTATATTTCTTCAATTCCTGTAAAACCTGTCGAGTTTATATATTTATATATTTTAAATGATTTTTCAAATCTTTTCTAGGTTTTTAATCTTTTTTGGTTTTATGTCAAATCTAACTTAATGTTATTTTTTGTTCTAGCTAGTACTATATTGAGTTTAATTTGACATAATAATTTATGACTTATTTACAATAAGAGAAAATAGATGAATTGTATGTGAACTTGCTGAAAGGAAATATTAGAAATAGTCCGAGCTGCAAAAAGTTAGATTTTTAATTTTGATTGTTTTCAAATGATTATTGATTAAATGAAAAAAATGTAAGAATCATAAGATGTTTAAAATATAAGACTGATATAGAAATAATATTTGTAATTAGAAATTATTTTTATGTATATAAAAAAGGAGATTTTACCTTTTCACTGGATCCTGCTTTATAAATTTCCATCATAGTAATTAAAACGTTATTTTGAAGTTCTATGTCGCTAGAATTTGATATATAATGTTCGTATACATTATTTGCACTTGATCCGGAGCGCCATCGATAAGTACAAGTTGTCCTTTAAAATTCATAGTTTCCAATTTTCTTGTTAATTCAATTGCGATAATAGATCCGAAAGAATATCCTACCATTACAAAATTTCTTCTATCTTTTAATCTTGAGATTATGTGCTATAAAAATATTATTAAAATAATTCAGCAAATTTTATGTCTATCTTACAATTTTAAATTTTAATAAAAAACAATTTTTCAATCAAAGAAACACAAAAATTACAATTAGGATACCTCAAGAAGATAGTCAATCGTCTCCGATAGTGTGTTCATAGCGTTAATATTGTTTGTGTTACATTGCAACGATGTCATCGAAAATTTAACGCTTGATGCCAAGTGATTAAATACAGTTACACAGCCATCGATTCCCGGTATAAGAAATACTTGGATCGTATTTTCTTCTTTTTTAAAGATATCTAAACAAACTTTCGTCATAAAATCTTTGTCTTGTACAATACCGAATAATTTCGCAATATTTGATTTCCTATCGATTGAATTTTCAATTTGCGTATTATTATCACCAGTGTTTGCATTGGAAATCTCATTAAGTTTTGCGAAAGTAAGATTCCGTATTTCTTGCACAGTAAAAAAGATATCAAATTCTCGTTCCAGGATTTGCTTAATTTCCACAACCATCATAGAATCCATTCCAAGCTCAGATAAAGATGTATTTTGGCTTATCTTTTTCATGTCCTTTACATCTATAAATATAAAATATATTAGATTTACTATATCTTATGAGAAAGTTTAGAGATAGTTAGGAAAAATAGTTTAACACACATGAAATATTCTGCATGCGAATACTTACTTAAAATATTAGCAACAGTTTTCATCATATTGTCAAATCTGGAAGATTCTGCTTTCTTTTCGGCTACAATCATGCTACTTACAACTGGCCGATTTTGAAGTACAAATGTATCGAGTTCGTTAAGGCAGCTAGATATCTTTTGTTGCAAAGTACCACCGATAACGAGTTCCTTATTCTCTTCTTGCATATCAGCGACAAGACCTACGTCACCTATAGCTCCCCACTGAATCGCCAGTCTAGGTAATCCATCCTTCGCCCTTTTCTCACACACTCTCTCCATGACGGAATTAGCCATGCCATAATTAGTTTGTCCAGTGTTTCCTCTACCGCAAGAAACGGAAGAGAATACTACAAACTGCCGTAGTTTAGGACAGATTTTTCTAGACAGCTTGTCCAACATTTGCGTCGCCCAGGCCTTCGATTTGAAGGATTCCGCAAAGGTATTGATGGTTTGATTTTCCAAAATGTTGTCCTTCAGCACTACGGCCAGGTTGAATATCGCATCCACCGGTGCTATCTTTTCCGCAGTTCGCAAAAGATTTTCACAATCATCACGATTGGCAGTATCGATATTTTTTATAATAATCACATTTACACCGTAAGATCTCCACAATTGAAATTTCATGCGCTGATAACCATTTTTTATCCCAGTTCGCGAAATCAGCACGACGTTTTTAGCGCCTCGTAGTATTAGCCAATCAGTTAACTCCAAACCGAATCCACCTAGACCTCCTAATATAATATAGCTTCTATTATTGAGACAATAATAACAACGATGTGCAATAACAAATTCGTTCAAAGATTGATCTTCCTCCTGAATCTTTAAAATTATCTAAAAATATATATTTATATATTAGAGAGACGTCGAGAGTAGTATTATAATATTTCAAATTGTTGTAATACCGTTGATAAATATTATAAAATAGTTATATTATTAACATACCTTTCCTATATGTTTCCCACTTGACATGTATCTAAAAACCGCTTCAATTTCTGATTTTGGAAAAACTTTCACCTGAAGTAGTTTAATGATCAAATTTTTCAAACCGTTAGCCATCATTTTGGATAATAGAGACTTATGCTTGTGATAACCCAGAAATATATTTTCTAATAGAATTCCATGAAAACTAATACCTTTTTGAAACATGATCATATCTAGAGGATTGTTAGAAACAAGATCGAATTTGCCGATCTCCAGGAAACGACCATTTCGTGCTAGACAACGAACGGACGCAATTAGTTTTTCTTCTGACAACGAATTTAACACGATATCCACGCCGTAACCATTTGTTTGCAACATTATCATTTGTTCGAAACTGGTGTCTCGAGAATTTCCAATATACTTATCCGTAATAGTCGGAAACATTCTTTTAATAAATTCTCGCTTTTCAATTGTACCTAGGTAGTAAACACCTCGCATCCCTCGTTAAGAGCTAGGTGAATAGCTGCTTGTCCAATGCCTCCAGTACCGGAATGTATAAGTATTTTATCGCCTTTCTTCATTTTCCCATAAATATATAAAGCCAAGTAACACGTGCTATAAACGCATGGGATTGTAGCAGCATCTTCAAATGTCCATGTATCAGGTATGTTCCAACATAAATCTTTGTCTTTCACAATGATGTTTGCTATACATCTAGAAAGAGCAATATTAATTAATTGATGATATAATTGATCAATTGATCAATGATATTTTATATAATAATTGCTTGAATAATAATAATATTTACTTGTTATCACGAAGTCCCATTACGCGACGTCCGTTGGTATCGAATCCTACATATTCCAATCCAAGAGATATACTTTGAAATCGTTCTTGCGACATTGCGGTCGGCAATGAATTTAATTTCGCAATAGCTAACATTACATCTCTGAAATTGATAGACGAATAAACTATACGTATCAAATCTTCGAGCCGAGAATCAGATATTTCGTGTTCCATCCAACAAAATGTACTTAGATCACCATGAACCTATAAAATATAAGAAAATATTTTAGTATTTGTGACATACTATATGTAAAGTAAAATTTTAAATAGCAAATTTCTACATTACAGAAAACAAAAATATATGTAATTATTATTAGATAAACTTGCGTAAAAGGAGATCCCGCTCGTATCTTGACTTTCTTCGTTAATAACTTTTTTAATAAACAACGACCGACGACTAAAACCTTTTGACTGTTACTCAGGAGGATGACCTTGACAACATATATCAAAGTAATACGAGCATGGTTCTCTTTTATGCAGATTTACCTATTATTGCACATGTATACATATAGAAAGTACTTATATACTATTAAAAAAACTTTGCAAATCTTCGCAAAAATATGTATATACCATTTGACAAACATAAGCGGAAGGTACAAGTTGGGCTTCTGCACGCGGTAATTGTAAATGCCTGTAAGATCCCCAGATTTTATTAGAGCGCAAAACATTAATAGTCATGTCTTTTTGTAATTGTTGCATATAAAAGGGATTTTGTAAAGAGAATTTAGGAGCGTTCTGATCTTGAATAAGTACACCTCTAACAAATTCGCCGCCTAACTCTTTTCTCAAACAGTTAATGAAGCCTAGCAAACCGCACTCAAAGTCTTTTTCTCCAACAATTATGATTCTACTGTTTTTAACAAGTTGATTCTCATCATTCAAAAGTAATTTTAATTTTTGGAGCCAATTAAAATTGTTATTATCTATATAGACAACAGTCGTCTTTTTTATCTCAACTTTTTTCTTCAAAAGTATAATTACTTCCGTATCAGTGCACTTTTCAAGAATAATATTTAATTCGTATTACTGCAAATATTTTTCATAGTTAATTATGTTGTACTTTTCGTATGTCAACAGATATCCACCTTCTCTTATGAGTGGTAAAAGTTTTTCTAACGAGATTTGTTTCGTCAAAAGATTGAATCCAACAGCTATTAACACTTTATCATCTAAAGATGCATTTAAATCTGCGATTGTAACATTTTGTGGCAATTCTGCTGAACTGAAACGACTCGATGATGTTAATAAAGTAACATTTGCCTGTATTAGTGGCATATCATTAAAAGCTTTAATTAACAGCGGAGATGATAATTCTTCCAATGTTACATTATCGATATCTTCAACTAATTCAATGGCTTTTATTTTAATGTTCTGATGATCTTCCAACGCAAGCTGCCGATATTTGGATCGTTTCGCCTAAAGAAATCTTCGCACGATCATGATGAGTTACAAATATGTGTTCTTCAATAACGGGATCCTGGATTAATTTCCGGCGAGAAATCACGGTAGCTTTAGTGCCTCGAATCTCTATTCTGCCAGATATAATCGTGTCTATTTCTTTGTATATTTGTATCGATAATTCTACAATGAGACAATTCAATCAATTATTTTATTACACAAAGATTCCATTATATTAGTGCCATTATAATGTAGTAGTAACAATGTGGTAGATAAAAAAAGAATAATGTTTTCAATATTTGATTTTAATGTTTTTAATGTATTTATATATTTAATTTTAAATTATTAATTTTTTCTAATTGACCATGAACCATACGTTTATCATCTGTTACTATGTCCCGCAGTTTTAATGAGTGAAGCGCAGGATCGATCACTAATTTTTGAATACTTGTAGGACCATATAAGTTCTTACCCAGTGAGAAATGAATGATCGAAAAGATATGGATTTGATGTCGATTCGATCAAATTTTATCAACGTGGATGCAGTACATCGATATTTTTCATATTTCGATGACTTCTTGATGTGTTGTTATATACGACACATGAGCTATATTGTTTACATAAATTAATGTAAAATACATTTTTTAATATAAATATTAATATTATTATAGGGATGCAGTACATCAATATTTTTCATATTTCGATGACTTTTTGATGTGTTGCACATATATTATAATATAATATATACTGCTAATTTTATGCACTCGATAGCATTATAATTTCTATAATTCATCTATAATTTTTTATGCAAATTTTTACAAGGATTCATATCGTCTGCTTTAGTGCACATGCACTAGAAAATATTTTGCAACTGCCCAACACTCAACACTGCGTGCTGCGTGGCGGTGGCAGTGTGATCAGTGTATGGCAAGATGGCGAGTCGTGATTGTAGTGCAATAGTCTTAGCCCGTATTTTACTTCTTTGTCCGAGGCCGAAAGAAAAACAAGTTTGCATTGATCGTCATCTTGATTAATACGTCGCGTAAATACATATATATATACGGTATAAAAGTCAGAGGGAGAGAGAGAAAAACTGCACCAACAATTCGCGCGAGAACGTGTCGTGCGGTGTCGTGGTTAGATTCCCCATTTTTCGTAGAAGAAAAAGTGAGTGGTTTTGTGCAAAAACGCAAGGACGAGGAGACGTGTGACCATCGCGAATTCGGCGTAAAAAACGAAGAAAATACGTATTTAATCATCTTGCATCGACCAATGGTGAGTATATCGTGTCTATTCCCGAGAGGGAACGGCAGAGAACATAAAAATCAACCGAAAAGTCGTTAGCCCGTATTGCTTCTTTGTCCGACGGTGAAAGAAAAACTCAAGTTTTCACTCGTCACCCTGTTGATTAATACGCGGGATACGTCGCGAAAATACATATAAAATATATATTATACATAATACATGAAAATACATATTATACGGTATAATTGATAGAGAGAGAGAGAGAGGAGAGAGAGAGAGAGAGAGAGAAACTGCACTAACAATTCACGCGAGTCGTGCGGTACGTGTGTCGTCGTTTTATCTTTACACTTTATCTTTATAAATTTTGTAGATTTACGCGTTTTCAAAATTTCGGATTGATTGTTTTGCAGCGAAATTTGAGAGAAACGCGCGCGCGTGTGTATATATATATATATATATATATATATATATATATATATATAAGTGTATTTTTTTTCGGTACAATAATAAATACAATAATAAATACGACAAATGGCTGTTTTGAGAGAAACGCGCGCGCGCGTATATATATATATATATATATATATATATATATATATAAGTGTATTTTTTTCGGCACAATAATAAATATAATAATAAATACGACAAATGGCTGTTTTCAGATATCACACCTGGTATTGCTCTTGATGTATGCCTTGGTGTGCTTTTATTATTCAGTATTCACAAGCAAATGCGGCAAGTCTTGAAAAAGAAGATCCTTCTGGTATCTATCATAACATTATTATTATAAGGCAACAAGATTTATTACCACTTTCATTCCCAAAAATTCCTTCGATAATGGATGAGAAACCTGTAAGTATTGCTACTAATATAATAACTTACTTTATTTGAAATGTAAATGTCGATTTAGAGGTTAACTTTATAACAAATCTTATTTTCATAAAAAGGACTCTTTATTTAACTGAATTTAGGTTAACTCTTTCTCGAGAGGTTAATCACTACTTAAAAAATGTAGTATAATAATTGCCATTTTTGGCAGTACAATATATTTTATTGCTTCCGTTACTATATTGTATAGTTAGTACTTAATGCTGGTTTATTCTATTATATTTTTGGTTGTGATATACGGTTTCAGAGATACGTTCTTAAAAAGACAAAGATATAATTATTTAATTGGACTAAATTAATTGACATTGGTAGAAACGGACATTAGTCATTCGCACCCCGATATTTTTTCTCTTGTTTCCTTCCTTCTCATTGAACTTTTTATAATTTGTACGTTCTATTTCTTTCTAGCAGGATGTTCGTGCAATGTAAATTTTAAACATTAATAAGAATTAATTTTCTTAAAGTACAATCTCATTTTGAAATATATTTGTACCAGAAAATTATTCGTACATTGTTCTCACTTTGGAGAATCAGAATATTACAAATTAAATAAGGAAATAGGAAGGAAATAAAGAAGGAAAAATAAGAAAATCTCGGCTTAGCCACTCGCGCCCCGATATATTTTTCTTATTTTTCCTTCTTTATCTCCTTCCTATTTCCTTATTTAATTTGTACATTCTGATTCTCCAAAGTGAGAACAACGTATGTATAATTTTCTGGTACAAATATATCTCAAAATGAAATTGTATTAAGAAAATTAATTCTTATTAATATTTAAAATTTACATTGCACGAACATCCTGCTATGACTCTTAGCCTTTTTTCCTAACACTCGTTATTTATTATAATACATAGAACTTTTTATATTATTAATTAATTTATATTTTAATTGTTTATGTAAAAAAGAATCTAAAATGTGTTGCTTATTTATTGCAAAGTATTGCTAATGTATTGATAATTGTATTACTTGTGTTGCTCGTATTGTCTATTTTATTGCAACTTTTACCGTACTGTGATAATATATTTATAAAAAAAATGTAATGATTGCTACAGTGATTAACTCTACACTTTCTATTGTTAGATTTATATTGTTAGAATGTAATTTTATTTTTACATTTAAACAGTCTATTTAAACTATTATTTTACTATTATTTTATAATCATTTTAAATCTTTTATATTATTGTAATTATTATTTTTTTAAATTTTTTTTTTAAGAGAAACTTTCGAGCTTTCAAGAGAGCATTAAATCGCAAGGTAGAGAGAGAAATTGCCAAAAGGACAAAATTGGAAAGAATAGCGTCCGTTCTTTATAAACGATATGGTAAAAGTGAGAGCAATAACGAGAGTGAGAATGAAAGTGAACATATTGTCAATCAATGCTATATTATCAATGCTAATCATGATAAAAATAATGATGTTACCGGAGATAATAACATAAATGTTTTTAATTGTAACAATGATGAAGATGATCATAATGAAAGTGATAATCTTGAAAATAATGAACTATTAAGACATGATGCTAGTAATAGTGAACTGAGTATCGAAAATTTCTCTGACAATGAGAATTCCAGAGTTCATGACACAGAGTCTACTCATACTTGCACTGAAAGTGACGTAGAAGGAATAGGTGTTCAAGAATTGGTTTCAAGTGATGAAACAGATATAGAAGAAGAGCAAATACATTGTCTACATATAAATGAGATAGGCCAATATGTTGCTATAAAAATAAAAGAATGGGCATGCGAAGAAGGTATGTTATCAATGCGTAAATTGCAATCATTGCTTTTAAAACTTCATCCAGTATTCCCAAATCTATGCCTTACTTACAAAACTCTTTTGAACACTGTACGCAATATACAATTGATTCAAATCGATGATGGTGAAATCTGGTACAAGGGTATTATTTTTAATTTAGACTCCATGAATTTAAATGATTATCTGGAGCGATTCAATAAAATTGTGATTGATATTAATATTGATGGTCTGCCTATATCCAAAAGTTCCTCGAGTAAATTTTGGCCTATACTAGGAAGACTTGTATGGTCTAAAAATGAACCCTTTATTATCTCGATATATAAAGGAAATAAAGATCCTAATATACAAGACTTTTTACATTCATTTGTCAGAGAGATTGAATATTTACAAGAAAATGGATACATACGTAATGGCATTCGATACACATTTTCTATAAGGCATTATATTTTAGATGCCCCAGCTCGCGCAAAAATTAAATGCTGTAAAGATCACGTAGGATATTGCGCATGTGAAAAATGTGAAGTCATTGGCGAATATATTGATAATAGGATGACCTTTGTTGAGCTTAACGAGCCTTTGAGGACAGATGAATCATACAATAATCAAAAGCAACCATATCACCATACTGGTCACTCACCATTGGAAAAAATTGGAACTGGCCTAGTATCACAGTTTCGTCTTGATGGAATGCACTTGATTTTCCTAGGTGTTATAAAGAGATTACTTTTGACTTGGAAGATGTGCAATGGGCCGTGGAAATTGCATCGGAATACTATTGCAGCTATTTCTTCGGAATTAATATCATTGAAACCTTCATGTCCTCAAGATTTTAATAGACCTCCAAGATCTCTTGCAGAAATATCTTTTTATAAAGCTACAGAGTTCAGAAGATTCTTGTTGTATGATGGAATATTAGTACTAAGAGATTATTTGGATGAAAACATTTACAAGCATTTTCTTCTTTTACATTGTGGAATATATATCTTAAGCAGCCCTGTTTTAGTAAAATCTCATTGCAAATATGCAGGTCAATTGTTAAGGACCTTCATTAAACATTCTGTTGTTATTTATGGTGCAAGATTTGTAGTTTATAATGTCCATTCTATGTGCCATTTAGAGGAAGAGTGTCAGCAACATGGCCATCTGGAAAACTTTAGCGCATTTGTTTTTGAAAATAAATTGCAAGGTATAAAAAGATTACTCCACTCTGGTTATAAACCATTGCAGCAGGCTGCTTATCGTGACTTAGAAAAAGGACCACAAAATGTAATTCTTGAAAATGAAGAAAATCATGTTTTTCTTTCTATGCAAAGAAATCATCCTGTTAATGAAATCATTAATGGCATCCAGTATAAAAAAATTACAGTGAATAACATTATATTCCAATGTAACAATAAAGATTCATGTTTTAAAACTGTTGATGGCGAAATTGCCATTCTACACAATATTGTGCAAAGACAAGACCAAATATATTTTGTAGGCCATTTTTTTTCTCAAACTGGAAATGCATATGAATATCCTTTGTCTTCAGTTGAACTTGGTATAGTACGAGTATCACATTTGAGTATGGAAAAGCAAATCGTTTTATTAACTAATATTGCAGCAAAATGTTGGCTTATGCCAGATGGAAATTCATTTGTTTGTGTTCCTCTTTTGCATACCATTCCTTTATTGAAGTAGCTTAAAATATTTTTAAAAAGATTATTTCTCTCATCATTACAGCTGTATTGTTATACTTTTAGGTTCGCTATTTTTATAATTATATACATTTTTATGTTTGTTCTTTTACGGTATATGGCTTTATTTTAATGTATGCTTAACATTTTTTTCAGTTTGTTGTGTTCAAATTTTTAACTCATAAAGGCCGCGAGCTGACACAAGAAGATGATGAATTTACGACGTTGGCCGTACGGAATGGATTACGGATATAGATGAAAATATGGAAGCAAAAATCAAATGGCCTCCTTGCAATGCAGGGAAATTTGTCCAAAAAGAATTACCTGCATCTCCAGATTGGATAGAAGAACGTATAATTATTAGAAAATTTTATGGTAAGTACAGAAAACACAAAAACTTTGCTTATGTGATTATTGCTTCTTTATAAAGGAATCATAGCATATTTATGTATTTTTTCTTAAAGATTTATGTCTTATATTCTTTTTTATTCCGGTTTTCCATACATTGTATTTCTAATTTTATAGATGCACGCATTAATGCCATAATTTCGTGTAAGGGAATCATAGATGATTCAAATTATGAAACAGACAAGGAATTTGGTAAGGGTATGAGAAAGAAAAAGAAAAATTGTTTTTTTGATTCATCAGAATCAGAGAAGGAATCAGACAATAACAAATGTCCCGTAAAATCTAAGACAATTGAAAAAAACAACAAAAAACAATTCAAAAAATATACTAATGTCTCAAAAAATATAAAAAAGATAGCGCCACCTCCTTCTATTTCTGCATCTTTTTGTAAAAGTACATGCATGTTATCACCAGAAAGGCAGTCAAAAACAAGACAGCACATAAAACAACCCAAGTTACCGTTAAATATTAAAATCTCAGAATCTTCAAAGCAAAGCCATACAGACACTATAAATGTTCTCAGAAATATAAGGGAAAAGAATAAAGAGTCAGATAAAAGAACGCAATTATTTGAAAGGTTAAAAAAACATGGACATGAAAAATTACATAAATATGAAGAAAAGCTGCTTTATCTTCTATGCAAGAAACTCTACAAGAACAAAATATATATGAGATACAAGAAGCAATTATACTATCTCCTTTAAAAGAAAAGGAAACTCCACAGAAGAATGGTACTGTAGATAAATTTATAATATCTAACTGAGTAAAAAATTATCTGTTAATAAGAGTATTATTTCAGATAGAAGCTTACGTTCTCCGTTACAAATGCTTAGTCCAAATTGTTGTAACAATAGCAACAAATCTTATTGTCATTTATTTAAAACTCCAGAGAAAAATAATAATTCCTCTCCATTAAAAAGTTCAGAGACAGAAAGTTATACCGCTTATCACTTAAGTCCTAGTTTATTACAGCAGTAACACGTAAAGGAAATGAAAGTAAGCAAAATGCATGTTTAATATAAAAAAATATATATTACTAATTGTAAGATAACTGTTGGATCTTACTGTCATTTATTTAAAACTCCAGGGAAGAATAATAATTCCTCTCCATTAAAAAGTTCAGGGACAGAAAGTTATACCGCTCATCATTTAAGTCCTAGTTTATTACAGCCAGTAACACGTAAAGGAAATGAAAGTAAGCAAATGCATGTTTAATATAAAAAAAATATATATTACTAATTGTAAGATAACTGTTGATCTTACTGTCATTTATTTAAAACTCCAGGGAAGAATAATAATTCCTCTCCATTAAAAAGTTCAGGGACAGAAAGTTATACCGCTCATCATTTAAGTCCTAGTTTATTACAGCCAGTAACACGTAAAGGAAACGAAAGTAAGCAAAATGTTTAATATGGAAAAATATATATTACTAAAATAACTGTTGGATATATTTTTTAAATATTAAATAATATATCTCTAAAATAACATTTTTTTTCTATGATTAATTTCAGAAGATTCATCACTACAAACTATGCTTGCTAATTGTATTTATAAATTAGATGAAAATATGAAAATTACAAAACAAATTAACAGCAAAATGGATATTTTATTATGAATCAAGAAAAACTACACCGTTATTTACTCCCTGGAGAAAAAGTTGTTAAACGCCCTAGTGGTCTTCCATCTTTTCCAGTTGAAACTGAGCATGAATTGAATCAAATGGAAGAATTTCTTAAAGATGATAACAATTTATCAGCAGCGGTAAGTTTAGATCAATAATATATATTAATATTTTTTTGAAGCCAACTGCACAACTGGTTGCTCGGGTAATTGCGGGCAGTCAAAAATAATACTTGTGGCCGTGGCTAATTAATTTTAAGATAAAAAAGATAATTTTTAGATAAAAATAATTTATAGAAGAGAAGAGTGTAACATGACAAAAGAGAAGATAAGTTACAGACGGAATTTATATCAATTTATACCATACAATTTATTTAAAAAGAAAATTATTAAAGAAGAAAATTGTGTCCACCAATGCTCTTAGTATCGCGTGTTGCCTATGCAAACAGCATTATTGATGTTTTTTCAGTTGTACAGGCCTGGTTTACATTATTGTGCACGTTTAAGTTATAATTATTTTATTTGACAAATAATTTTCTATTTCCAGACCTTTTATTTTGCAAAATTTATTGACCCAAAAAGCATAGAAAATTCTGTCAGAAAATTGCTATCGAAAATTTTAAGTAACTCTGTAGCTAACAATTATAATTTCCATGGTACACGAGGAAAACAAAGATTTAAAGATCTTAAGATATGGGAACTAGTACAAGGTAAGAATTTATTGTTGTTAATATTCCATTTTGTTTCTTAGGTAATACACGTCATTTTTATTTTTGATTTATTTTGTATTAAGAACTATACTGCACACGTAATTTTATTTTGTCATACTTATTTATATTTTTATTTTATATACTTTTTGTTTGAATGTTTAGGTGCTCTAATGACACGCTTTGAAGCAAAAGATTTAACAGTATGTGACAAAGTTGCTAGTACTTGGCTTGCAAATGCAACCATGGCGTAAATAACATGATGGCAGTGTGTAGAAGAGAACTGATATCTACAATCAATGCCTAACGATGAAAGAAAAGGCAATCAAAAGTCCGGTTTTAGGTCAACTATAGAGAATTTTCTTAGGCTGTGCTCAACGCAAAATTGTTATCAACGCTGCAAATGTATTTTATACGTAGGTCCTTGGCATA